TTTCTGGTCTATGCATGGACTGAGCCCACTCCTGTGCCCAGGGTACGCTTAAGGCAGGAAGCCATGGGCATGTCCAGGAACCGCCCACTAAAGCTGGAGGCAACAGCTGAGGTGGCAAAGGGGGTTTAGCACTGACAGCACCTGCTATGCTCACTATATTAGGTTTCCTAGGGCCGCCCCAACAAAGGACCACAAATGGGGCTGCTTGAACAACAAAACTTTATTCTCTCACAGCTCTAGAGGCTAAGGGTACAAAATCAAGGGGTTGAGAGGTTTGGTTCCTTTGCAGACCTGTGAGAGAGACTCTGTTCCCCTGCTTTCTGGTGATGACCAGCGGTCCTTGGCAGTCCTTGGCCTGTCACTGCACCATTCCAACTCTCCCTCCATCTGTACAGGGTGTTCTCCCAAGCCTCTATGTGTTCACATGATCATCTTCTTATAAGGAAACCAGTCATCTGGGATTAGGGGCCCACCCTACTTCCCTGTGGCCTTATCTTAACTAACTACATCTCCAGTGACGTTATTTCCAAGGACAGTCACATTCTGAGATACTGGAGGTTAGGATTTTAACACCTCCATTTGGGGCAACACAATTCAAACCATCACACCTACTTTGTCCACTGTGAACATCACCCATCACTTAATACTCCTCTGAGTCTCGATTTGTTTTTTTCTCCTAAAGCTGTTGCCAGGGACATTACGGCTCCCGGCCCTGTGACTCCCGAGGTGCCCTTTGAACCATCACAGCCCCCAGTCATTGAGGGCTTAAACCCCACTGTCTGCAGCACTCCAGAGAGCTTCGAGGAAAAGTTCCTTCACGAGACACGAGAACCCAATGGTACCCATAGGCTGCCTGGGCGCGGTGGCTGCCCTAACCTATGGGGCCAGAGTCCCGGCTGTCAGCTCTCAGCTCTCAGCTCTCAGCTCATGACGCACACCCAGATCATGGCCCATGGTCGCAACCATCTGCTATGAGGTCTGGATCCTGAGCCCGAGACCTGGCCTCCTTGAAAGTTCCCCAGAGATCATTCCCAGCCCCAGGAGCAACCACCAGTCCTGCCACCTGACTTATTCCCTCATCTTCCCTGACAAGTAAGTCCCTGCGTCAGTCCGGGAAGAGGTGGCCAACTGTGTAACTGACACATGTTTTTTCAGGAATCTCAGATTCGGTTCAGTTTGGGTGTTGCATACTTCTGTTCACTTTCTCCACTTCCTACTTAATAGACTGATCCACTTGTGTGTAAAAAAAAAAAAAAAAAAAAAAAAGTATTCCTCTTCGTCTCCTGTCATTTGGGAAGCTTTCTCCAACCCACCTACCCACCACTCCCTCCAGACAACAGGTATTCAGTATGGCCACAGGCCCCAGTATCTACTCGTGTATTAGGGTGTTTTACACCTGTCCACTGACTTGTCTGTCTCCCTCCCTGGACCGCGAAGTCCTCCAAGACAGTTTCCAAGTCTCGCTCACCTCCCATTCCCTAGCGCCCTGCACAGGGCCCGGCACACAGTCCTCGTGATAATATGAACTAACACTAGTTGAGCACTTACTATGTGCCAGTCAATGTACTAGGAGTTTTACCTTGATTACCTTGCTTTACATTGATTACCATTGATTTACATTGACTTTTTACAACAACCCTAGGAAGTAGTATGTTAGTCTAGAGGCCATGGGATTGCCAGAAACAAAACTCAACCAAGCTTACGCAAGAAGCGAATTTATTGGTTCAGTTGAAAGGAAGTCTGGAAGTGTGTTCATGGCCAAATCCAGACACCCAGAGAAAAATCAGGGTGTTCCCCCCTCCATCTCTCAGCTCTGCTTTTTTCCACATGGCTTCACTTTACAAGTAAGCTTTCTCTACCCAGGGGGCAGTCTAGCTGTCAGCAAGAATCAGATCCTCCTAGTTGAGGAACCATGGCGGGAGAAACCATCAGCTCCCACTGCTCAGCTGGAAAGCGAGGTCTGACTGGCTACCCTGTGCCAACTGCCTACACCTAACAGGCAGTGGAACACGGTGACTAGCAGCCCACCAGATGGTCTCCCCCACAGGAGCCACAGTGAAAGAAACGGGAAACCTTCTTGAGCAGAATGGGATTCCCGGCACCATGATCCACCATAATGGGTACCACTCCCACCCCTTGTATAAGGAGGCTAGAGGGGCCCCGAGTGATGAGCCATCCTGCCTAGATGCACAACTGGTAATAAGAGGCAGAAGAAGGATTCAAACTGTCTGGTCTGATGCCAAGAACTTCCCCCCACCCCAACACTGGTCCATTATGCCAGTTCTCCGTGAGTTCTGGCACAGACCAGAGCGCACGATTCATTCAGATGGAGGCAAACAGACTCAGGTTTGAGATCCCCTTCTGATCTCCGTGAGCTCAGGTGCCCTCATCAGTAAAATATGGGCAGCAAAAACCTACCTTGTGGTGAGGATTGCATGAAATAATTCAAACCATGCATTTAGCACAGGGTCTGGCACGTGCAAAGAGCTTAATAAGAGTTAGCTGTTACTACGAGTAACTATTCGTTGAGTGAAGAAGTGAGTTGATGGCATCTGAGCTCTAATGGAGGGACTGGGTGGCTCCCCTCACAGAGGAAAGGCTTGGGGTGGGGGGAGGGCTTTGGCCCTTGACAATCTCCACCACCACTCAAAACACCTCTCTCAGAGGGGCGCCTGGGTGGCTCAGTCAGTTAAGCCTCCGACTTCGGCTCAGGTCATGATCTCACGGTTTGTGAGTTCGAGCCCTGCGTTGGGCTCTGTGCTGACAGCTCAGAACCTGGAGCCTGCTTCCGATTCTGTGTCTCCCTCTCCTCCTGCCCTCTCCTGCTTTGTCTCTCTCAATAATAAATAAAATGTTAAAAAAAAAAAAAACCACCCTTCTTAGATACTCCTATTCTTTGTGCTGGGCAATTAACTTCTCCTAATTTTATGTGGAGTGGAAATTAAAGCATGGTTAGAAAATGTTAATATGATTGACCTAAAACTTAGCTCTATACCTGTTTCCAGGCCCACTCTCCCCTTTCAGATGGCCACTCCAAGCCCCTTCTGTAAGGAATTCTAGAACTACTGCTGGCTCTCCCAAAACCCATACAGCTGGGTTTGCAATGGGTGCTGTCCCTACTTGTGACCAAGTGCAGGTAAAGAGCTTTGAAGAGGCCAAGGCCATAACTTGCCTGGAGGCCATCCAAGTTCTCTTGATGCTATGGAACCAAGGAGTCCAGCCCCAGTCCTGGGTAGGTCTGGGCTTAGCTGGTGTGAGTCAAGACAGGGCAGGGGACAGGAACAGCACCACCCACGGGGGTTTCCGACAGGCCTGGCAGGCCGGCAGGGCCTCTATCCCTTGTCCTGTTGCAATTATACTCGGCCCCCAAAAGCCTCAGAATTATTTCCATGCGGAATGGGTACACATGGTCCCCAGACACCCTTTGCTTTCTTTCCTGGAACCCTAGGAGAGGGCCCCTTGGGGTAGCTGGGTAGTGCAGGGATAGAGAAGCCAGGGGGACACGGTTGGTTTCTCTGCCAGCCCGGCTTCAGATCCAAGAAACTGCACTAGATGCCAAACATGTAGAACCAGAAGACAATTCCAACAGCAGGCAGGAAGGAACCAGCTGCTTCTCTAAAGGCTGGATGTGTAGAAAGGGGGTGGGGGAAACCTGGCGGGAAGAGGAGAGATGAGGCCAACTTTGCCCAGTTTGCCTGTATCTCTACATGGTGAGAGCTCCAGGCTATAGGACACGAAGATGCTGGGCGGCACAGCCCAGAGATGTCAGCATGCAGGACAAGGACACCCGGCCTCATTTCCTCTCCACCTTCTACCTTCCCCCCTTCCGCTTCCCCACCCTCTAGCCAAGCCCTCAGAGAAGCTGCTGACTCACTCCTGCTTGCTGGGGGTCTGTGGACATTTGGACGCCTCTGGACACTCTATCTGGTGTTCTCTGCCTTTCCTATGTGATCTTGGCCAAGCCACTTAATGTCAATCACCCCATCTGCATGGAGTCGCAAAGCATGCTACTGTCATGATATCCCAGGACCCTCTAACCACGCTCGCCGTTCGCACATTATCTCATTTGATCCTCACGACAACTCTGCAAGACACTGTGAGTGCACCCACTGCACAGATGAAGAAACTGAAACCGCAGAGAGAGGTGGTTATTAATTTCCTAAGGTTGTATGGCTAATAAATGGAAGAACTGGACTTCAAATTTAGGTCCACTAAACTCCAAAGCTCAAGCTCTCTCTTCTATAATCCGAGGAGGTAGAACAGAGATGATCACTATCCTCGCTGTAGCAATGACGAAACTGGCTCAGAGAGGTCAAAGAACCGGCCGGTGGTTGCACACGTGGAAAGTGGTGGTGTCAGCATGCAAAACCCATTTCTTTGGCCACCAACCCAATGTTCGTCTTGCCAGCAAAACAAATGAGGAGGCGTGAGTCGATGACCTCAGAGGTTCCCTCCGGCGGGGATACTTTCAACTTCTGGGTTAAGACCGGAGTTGGAAGGAAAATGGGTGAAAATGAAGAAGCGACTTGGTCTTACTGCTTTAGCTCACGCTCTGCCTCAGGAAGCCAGAGTGGCTGCTCCAGCTCTGCCCTTTCAACCTCATCACATCCCCCAGTGAAGGAGAGGGTCATTCAACAAACAGGGGCATTTCAACCTTTGGAGCTTGGACTCCCCAGGACTCACCCTGACCTTGACCCCCAGCAGCCTCTTTCCTGAGGAGCGTGTGTCCACAGTCGTCCCCTCCACAGGGGCACCCATGTCCCGTCCCACTGGCCTCTCAGTGTGTCAGCAGTGAGAGTGGTCCCCAGGGGGAGAGGGGGAGCCCGCGGGGGCACGGTCGCATTCTTCACGCTGGGCCGCCCACCACACTGTGGGACCCCGACCTGCGGGGGGGGAGGGGGGGGGGGGGGGGGGGGGGGGGGGGGGGGGAGGTCCCTCTCCAGGCCCCGCCCAGCGCCCCGCAGGGACGCGCGCCGCGGGGGGAGGAGCCAGCGTCGCGCGGGCCCGGCGGCTGGCAGGGGACTGACTTCTGCGCCTCCGCTGCCCTGGGGCACAGACATGGCCCAGGAGCGTCCCGCCTGCGCCCTGGAGCCCGAGCTCGTCCAGCGGCTGCTGCTCTCCTGCCGGGAGGCCAAGAAGTCCGCTTACTGTCCCTACAGTCACTTCCCCGTGGGCGCCGCGCTCCTCACTCGGGACGGGAGGATCTTCTCCGGTAAGGACGGCGCCCCGGTCCCCCCTCGGCCGCAGCCCGGGCAGGTGGTCGCAAGAGGACGGGCGGGAGCCCGCAGAGCAGAGGGCAGCACTGGCCGCTCCCAGTGACGCTGCCACTCGCCCCTGCCCTGCCTGCTGTCCCGGACCGTGGGGAACGCAGGTGCTGCTCGGATGCAGCGAGAGGACTGGGAAGCCAGAGGTGGGACGGGGAGGGAAGTTGGAAGGGGAGGCCATAACTCAGTGCTGGGGGGAGGGGGGAGAGAGTTGATACTTTCTGACACCACCCCCCCCCGCCGCCTTTGTGGCGCCCTCCTAAGGCTTCCACAGGTTTTATCAGCAAGGCCTCCCCTCGCACCCACTGACCTCCGTGTTATGCCCACTTTTCAGTGAAGAAACTGAGGACCAGGGGCGCCTGGGTGGCGCAGTCGGTTAAGTGTCCGACTTCAGCCAGGTCACGATCTCGCGCTCCGTGAGTTCGAGCCCCGCGTCAGGCTCTGGGCTGATGGCTCAGAGCCTGGAGCCTGTTTCCTATTCTGTGTCTCCCTCTCTCTCTGACCCTCCCCCGTTCGTGCTCTGTCTCTCTCTGTCCCAAAAGTAAATAAACGTTGAAAAAAAAAATAAAAAAAAAAAAAAAGAAACTCAATCTCTAAAAAAAAAAAAAAAAAAAGAAAGAAAAAAAAGAAACTGAGGACCAGAAAGGTGACACGACTTGGTCAAGGTCGCACGGGGCACTGGGGGTGGAACCCAGGGCTGAGATCCCCCAGACCCTGCTTTCTTCACGTCACCTGCTGTGCTAGGAAGGAAAATGAGGAACCGAGGCCAACAGCCGGTGACTTGTTAGTGGACTTCAGGGCTTGCAGAGGGCCTTGGAGGAAGCAAGGGTGACCAGCAATGAATGCTGGCCTGGGGAGGGTGGGAATTGGAGTCAGCACTAATCTGTTCCTAAGCTCCTTTTCTTTGGTTTGTTGGTTTTATAGAGAAAGCTCACTCGAACAAAAGTTCAGACTTGTTTTCGCTAAGCTGGGAGGCATTTTCATTCAAAAGAGTGGGGCACCGTGGTGAGGAAGTGGCAGGGAAGCCATGCCCCTCCCCACCACTCTGGGGGCAGATGGGAATTGGCACAGTGGGCAGATAGGGACACCCAGCCCTGCTGCCCAGAATCTGCCTCTGCCTGGCAGCGGCGGCTATTTAAAGGAAAAGAAGCTCACATGTGTGCCTCTGATGGGTAACCTCCAGCAGCCTGAGGCCAGTTGTGGGCCACTCACCCCCACCGCCACTCAGCTGCGAGCCTAGCTGCGAGCCCCCGCCTCCCCTTGTACAGTCCCCCCCTCTGGGCTCCCTTGTTGTTCCAGTTATCTCTCACCTTTGAGGTCCTTTCCGGTTTCACGAGTTACCTGAATCTCAAACATCTTTGAGCAGGAGAAGTAACCTTGAGTCCCTACGTGAAAGGGTGGTGAGGAATGGTCTCCGTTGACACAACCCGGCAATCGCAGAGAACGGAACTGAGGCTCACAGAAGCTAAACGCCCGAGATCACAGAGCTGGGATTCTAATCCGGAGTTCCCCTGACGCCAAGGTGGCTACTCTGTAGGGAATCCAGACTCTCCATGTGTCTAGTGCGAATTCAGGCCTGGCCCAGTGGCTCAGATGAGTATTAAACATTAACCACCACCACAAACAACACTGCAGCCCACACTGCCCCGTGGCTCCAGGGTCTTAAACGTCGAATCAGCCGTTGGTTCTTTCCAGTGCCTCTTTGCATGGATTCATTCATTCAGCAAATATTTGCTGTGTACCGTGACGTGCTAGGTAATGTGTGGGCCAAGCCCCGGGGATAGCGCCATGAGCAGAAATGACATCGTCTCTCCCCCTATGGAGGTCCCTCCTCTTACACAGGTCATGGTTCAAAAGGGAGGCCTCGACGATGACTGCAGGAGTGGTTGAATGAGGTGAGCAGGAGTGTGGCCTATTTAAGTTGCGGGAAGGAACCTGGTTGTGCAGTGGGGATTTAGGGATGCCCCCTGGGATGGGGCGAAGGCCCTGGATTAGGGGCTGCTGGGTTTGAATCCTGGTGCTGCTCTTTATCAGCTGTGGGATGCCGGGCAACACCCTTCACCCAAATCTGCCTTACGCATTTGTTGAGCCGAAGACGGTGTGCCCACCTTTCTGGATGGCTCTGAACAGAGCTACTTTGCCTAGCCCAGCACGGCACCAGGGTCCTCCCTGATGGCTGGTGCCTGTTATCATCAGCCCTGGAACCTCAGGTTGTGAGGCTTTAAGCAAGTCGATGCCTGTAAAGTGACTAGCCCAGTTTCTGCCACAGTGGCTGCTTCTCCTTCTGTTAAAGGTATTGTTCTATCATTACTATTTGGAGGCAGCTTCTGGATGACTTGTGAAGGCCAAGCATTGCCACTGAGATTTGATGAGGTAGGAAGTAGGGAACCGGGGATGTTAAGAAGAAGAAGAGTAACATGAAAGTAGAATTCAAGGACAGTTGTCTGACAGGTACTCAAGGAGGGCCAAGACAGAGGAGAGAGTGTCAGGGGGAGGATGTCTGTCTTATTTGCTGATCGTCCACAGGACCAGCGCATTGCCCAGCCTGTAATATGTCCTCCGTTGAGGTTTGTTGAGTGTGCGAATGAATGGCTCAGACTGGGGCAGTGGCCATTGGAACAAGGAGGAAGGAAAGACCTGAGGAAAACCGTCTGGGACAAATGGACTGGGCTTGGGATGAGCAGTGTAGAATGAAGGAAAGGAATATGGTTCTAGAGTTTCAGCCAGGTAGACCAGGGGCATGAGGAGGCACTGACCAAGGTGGGAGCTGGAGGCAGAGCTGGGTGGTGCTGAGGACATCACGGGCAGGGACCGACGGCACTAGTAATACCTACAACGCACTGATCATTCACTAAGCACTTGGTATGGAAGATCTCTTGTAATCTCACAGCCACCACATGAAGGGAGACGATGAGTGTCACGTGTTGTAAGTGACAGAAACCAAGCGGAACCATTATGGGCAAGAGTAGATGGTATCTCCAGGACAGTTGGATCCAGGAACTCCGATGTCACCATGTCCTTCTTTATCCTCCTGGGTGCTTGCTTCTTTCTCTTATCCTGTAGGTGGGCTTTCTCCAGGCATCAGGGGACATGAGTGCAGGCAGCCTCTGGTCCATATTCTTTTACAGCCTCAAAAGCAGAGAGGAAAGAACTCTCCTCAGGGTGCCTGGGTGGCTCAGTCAGTTAAGCATCCAACTTTGGCTCAGGTCATGATCTCACAGTTCGTGAGTTCGAGCCCTACATTGGGCTCTGTGCTGACAGCTCGGAGCCTGGAGCCTTCTTTGGATTCTGTGTGTGTGGCTCTCTCTCTGCCCCTCCCCCACTTTGTCTGTCTGTCTCTCTCTCTCTCTCTCTCTCTCTCAAAAATAAAAATTAAATTTTTATTTATTTATTTTTTTAACATTTATTTATTTTTGAGACAGAGAGGGACAGAGCATGAACAGGGGAGAGGCAGAGACAGAGGGAGACACAGAATCTGAAACAGGCTCCAGGCTCTGAGCTGTCAGCACAGAGCCCGACGCGGGGCTCGAACTCACAGACTGTGAGATCATGACCTGAGCTGAAGTTGGACGCTTAACCGAACCGACCAAGCCACCCAGGCGGCCCAAACATTAAATTTTTTTTAAAAAATCAAATTCCCTATTTAAAAAAAGAAAGAAAGAAAGAAAAGAAAGAAAAGAAAGAAAGAAAGAAAAGAAAGAAAGAAAGAAAGAAAGAAAGAAAGAAAGAAAGAAAGAAAGGAAAGAAAGAAAGAAAGAAAAAGAAAGAACTCTCCTTCACTAGCTGGAGATGGAAAAACTCCAGGGAAGAGCTCTGATGGGTCCATCTCCAACCACATGCACATCCCTGGGCCAATCACTGTTGTCATGATAGAGTAGTGTGATTGGCCCAGCAGCACATCCCTTCCCAGTGGGGGCTGGGTGGGTCTGTTACCACAAGGACTGTGGAACTGCCAGGGCAAAAGCCCAAGGCACCCTCTACGAATGAGACAACTGAGGTCGTGCTCTTTCTGCCACCCCATTGCCACCGGGTGCACGTGCAGACAGGGACAGAGAAAGTGTGCTGAGAGAGGGGGACAAATGGAGGGCATTTAGCCAGAATCCCTGGATCTCCTTCTGTAGATGGAAAGGGAGGGCAGATGGTAGTAAGGCAGGGCCTGGAGAGGAGGGGACCTAGAACAGTCAGAGGAAACCTGACAGGGCACATGGGGTGGGGGGGGGGGGGGATTAGACAATTGGGAGGCAGAGAAGGTACAGCTGGATTTAGATGCTGTGAGTTTGTAGTTGATCGTGGGACGGGTCTGCCCAGCTCGTGACTTTCTCCAGCTGCACCAAAGCCCAGCCCGTGTGGAGTTTCCCTCCTCAGAGGCCACCGGTGTCTCATTCAATTCAAAAACAAATCCGACAGCCTTGTTGTCATGATCTTGTAATAATGGTCCTTTCCCCTCGATGCTGACTGACCAGGGCCTTGTGCCCTCCCGGGGTTGGGCCACCGGGAGGGTGATGGATCCCAACAGTTACCTTCTGTGATTGCTGTGGGAGAGCTGTGGGGAGAGGAGGAGCCCACGGGGGGGAGGCAGAGCTACAGAGGGAGAGGGGGGTGGGGACACAGAAGAGATGGGGCAGGAGGGGGTTGGCAGGGGCAGCCAGTGTCTGCACGACGCCAGATAGGAGGTGGCAGAGGAGAGTCATGGAGACCACTCTTTCCTGGCACCCCCCAAGGGATGGGTGAGTTTGTCCTTGGGACACTGGTCTATCTCCCTCACTCCTCCCTGGAGGAGCTTCACACTCTATACGCCCCTTTGTCCTGGTCAATCGCTGAATCCAGCTTGTCTGGGCTTTAACCTTTAAATCTGGTCTTCAGCGCCTTCCCTTAGGCCAGCCCCTGGCCTCCCTTCTCCTCCAGGACTGCTCTCCAAGCACCCTCCCCACCCCTGACCCCTCATAGC